GAGAGAGAGAGAGAGAGAGAGAGAGAGAGAGAGAGAGAGAGAGAGAGAGAGAGAGAGATTTGTGACATTGGGATTGGGCAGCATTTTTTTATTCAGACTTGACATTTGGACAGAGACACTGTGGGGGACTATTTGGGGATCGATATTGGCGGCATTTGGGTTGATGACATTCTCATCCCTTTCCCTCCTCTTCTTTGTCTCTTCTCCCTCCTCCTCATCTGTGTATGATCTGTGCCTGGCGCCTTCGTCCTTGTGTGTGGCGCCAAGCCACTCAAACCAGGTAATGATGACTCAACTTCCGTACGACTAGCTGCCCCACTCCAAGTAGAGTGGGGCAGCTAGTTCTACGGAAAAGGGGAAGGACAGGCGGCGTAGTATTCGAACAATCCTGATTTTATGTCCTAATTTCCAAAGAAAATTGCAAAAACGAAATCGAAAACCAATATCCCCACCAAATCCACCGACCAAATGCAAAGGATTTGAATGAATCTCAGCAGCCACACTAATAAGCCGCACGTCGCTGAAAACTTTACGTAGAGCTCTACCTCTACAGTGCAAGTGGGACATGGGCCCCGGGTGTACCGCCGCCGCCCCTCGTAACTTTTTATTTTCTTTTCTTTTCTTTGTGACCCCCGTTTTTAGAGGTGCAGCGCACGCGGTGTGCGCGCATCGTGCGCCATTCGGGGTGCAGCGCATCGCGATGTGCCCCATGTATGCTCTGTTCATCATCTCTTCTTGTCTTGGATTTCTGTTACTTTTTCAAATTTCCACCCAGGCTATTTGAATCTTAGAGCATACATTTGAATGTCAGAGCATACATTTGAATGTCAGAGCATTCAAATTCATGGCTAATGAATGAATGTAGCCATGGCGGAATATGCTAATGAAACGATGAAAGCACGAATGGTTCGCTTTAGATGATGATGGTGATGGTGGATTGTTTACGAAACATTGTGTGCACCGTTCCTCGCTCTTCAGGCGGGCTATTGATATGCTCAGGTGGGCTGCTAATATTCCTGTTTTGTTTTTGTTTTTTGTTTTGTTTTTTTTAACCAAATTCATCTCCCTTTCCCTGCTGTCCTCAGGTACAAGTACAAGCATCTGAAGGCTACAACTGCTAATATCCCAGCATCGATCGTAAAGGACAATCGAGGCAGCAAGTTGACGGTCAACGACAACGGGCTGCTAAGGGTTCAGCATATGATATCCATACGGTCATCATCATCGTCGACAGCAGGAAATCAGCCGCAGCCTCAGTTTTTCACGAGCCAGGGACTTGGGACCACAACAGGACAAGGCTCTCCCATGCCAAGAGTGTCGTACACAGAGTTCTTTGTAATGCCAGAGGAAGAGCCGCTAAGCGCCGGCGGGCAAATGGATGGAGAGGCCTCATAGTATAGCATTTGCACACAGTGCCAGCAACCAATGCATATTGTGTTTAGAGGTTCACACTTGGCCTGGTTGTTTCGACTATACCAGCTTCGGCTGGACACTGAGGAATGCATATGATCACTTCGCCGCATGTTGGGTGCCACAGGTTGGCCCAGCCAGGTTTTCCCTCGGCGTGATTTTTAGCTTGCTTGCTGGTTCTTGACCTCACTTCACTTTCCGCCAAGTGGACCAACTGGAACGCAGCCTGGATGAACTGTGAACCAAGTGGAACCAGCTGTGGGCCCAGTTTTGGAGGAACTCTGGGACCAACGTTTTGGCCAACTTGGGTCCAATTTGAACCAATTTTGGCGCAAGTTGGACCAACTCCAAGGCGGGACCAATTTTGCCCCACTTTTGCCCGATTTTGTGGAATGGCCCCAATTTTGGCCTGATTTCGGGCCAATTTTGAACTGAATCAAAAACGTTGGCCCCAAAGTTCCTCCAAAACTGGGCCCACAGCTGGTTCTTGACCTCCCTTCACTTTCCGCCAAGTGGACCAACTGGAACGCAGCTTGGATGAACTGTGAACCAACTGGAACCAGCTGTGGGCCCAGTTTTGGAGGAATTTTGGGACCAACGTTTTGGACAACTTGGGGCCAATTTGAACCAATTTTAGCGCAAGTTGGACCAACTCCAAGGCGGGACCGATTTTGCCCCAATTTTGCCCGATTTTGTGGAATTTTGGCCCCAATTTTGGCCTGATTCCGGGCCAATTTTGAACCAAACCAAAAATTTTGGGTTAATTTTGAACCAAACCAAAAAAATTGGGCCAATTTTGAACCAAAGTTACAAACTAAATTTGGGTCACAATTTTGGACCATTTTGGACCAACTCCAAGGTGGGACGGAACTGGACGAACTATAACCAATTTTTTCGACCAATGGCCTAGTTTGCCATTGTTGCTCAGCATTGCCGCACTTTGTCTCGCTAGCCTTGGTCAGCATCGACTTGCGTGGACACCCAGTTCCAAGGCGGAACTTCGACTAGCTTAGCCTTGGGTTGTCGGCTCGACGGGGTCATCTTCAATCTCCCCCATGCAGTGTGTTGTGCACTATTGGGTTTTCAGGGAGCAGGACAGCTGGTGGAGGCGGGAAGGAGGGGGGAGAGAGGACGGGGGGGAAGGTGGGGGAGGAGGTCATTGTGAATGTCATTGCCGCCAATTCTGGTGGCCCTTCCCTAGTGCAGTAGATTTATTGGTAATTAATGTGTTGCCACCTGATTTGTCATCTTTGTGCATGCTAACTCCAGGGCTTTGCATTTGGTCGCAATGGTGTTCAGATGCGTCCAAGTTGGTCCAGCAAAGTCCCCGTAGGAGTGTGCCCCTGCTCAGCTGCGATGGTGTTGTTTGCCCTTTACTGAAGTGGTCTCCCCTTCGGTCATCTGAGTGTGCGGCTAAGTGTGAGACATGATGTGGAAACACGCACTGTAAGATATGAAGTGGAAACACATGCCTTAAACCACCAGTACCTAGCGGTTGTGCGGCTGCGGGGTCCTCCCGCGACTTTCGGAGGCCCGCCCCGTGACGTTGGCCGCAGATCGAAAATCTGTGCGGCCGCGAAGCCCCCGAACGTGAACGCCCGGCAGCCGCACACTGGTAGAGGTACCGGTGGCTTAAGGCATGAAGTAGAAACACATCCTTGTTCTTTTTTTCTTTTTTTTTTTTGTGTGTGKGGGGGGGGGGGGGGGACWTGCTCCAATCTATTTGCGGGGAGCAGCACGTGCTGGGAACCAGGCCCAGCATCCCATTCAAGATCGTATTGAGAAATTGATAAATTTATGGAGAAATCCTTCAGATACCGGAATCGTTACCCGGCTTCAGCTAAGAAAGACAACTGTGTAATCTACACAAGAACACTAAAATTATCTATCCCCGAAAGCTCGGATCAAAGGAGCATTCAGACTGAAAAAACAGCTGCCTTAGGGCCTTTCAGCATCCCAACCCTGCCTGCCTCACCCCTATATCCCGATGCCCAATCTCTACCAGGCCTCATGCCCCCAACTGCTAGGTTACAGAAAGGCACGACCCAACCCAGAAACCCCCCACCTGCTAGGCCACAGGGCAAAGCGACCCGCCCCGGCTCCAGCCAGCATCGACTGGGCACCAGCATCGACTAGGGCCCGGCTCCAGCCAGCATCGACTAGGCCCCGGCTCCGACCAGCATCAACTAGAGTGCCTTCCACCCTCGACGAGTCCCCAGATCTCTCTACCAGGTCTCATGCCCCTCGTACAGCTTGAGTTACAGGGCAGTGCAACCAAGCCCCAGCACCGACCAGCGTCGTTCTGGCCTCATCTATTCGCAAACCACTGGGACTCATGGCTAAGGCAAATACCAGTCAAGCCACCAATCAGCACCATGGCTGTAGATCCCATCATTCATCTCCTCCTTTTTTTTTGAGAACTATTAAAGGAGTTCAGGAAAAATTAGGAAAACCATGGATAACTGCTGACCAATTGCTAGGCTACTCAAGCAGCAATTACTAAGTCCAAAAGGAGAGCCACAGAAGTCCTTCGAATACTCAGAACCCCTGGAATCCCTAACAAAACCCTCTAGAATTCTCTAACACTGTCTTATTCCCTGCCGAGCTCTCCCAGGCCTCATGCCCCCACCCTGCTAGGTTACAGGGCAACACGACTCACCCCGGCTCGGGCCAGCGTCGTCCCGACAGCAACCCTTGGTTTTCCCTTGGACTGCCTGCCCCAAGGCATCCCCAGATCTCTCTGCCAGGCCTCACGCTCCTGCTATCAACAGGTTACAGGGCAACTCCCCATCACCGGCCAGCGTCGTTCTGGCATCGAAAAACCGCAAATCCATGAATATAACAGCATCAAAGAAGCCTAAAGTGAATTGCAAGAAGTACCCAGAATCCTAGTGCATTCTCAAGACCACCAACAGCGACCGAGAACAACAAAATTGTTTGCGAAAATTGAGAACCAATTAGGATAATTTGGAACCCGATATAATCAAAACCACGTTACCCCAGAGCTATTCAACCGACCATCTTACAGCTGCCTCAACCCTCCTATCCTCGATACCAAGCTCTACCAGGCTGCACGCCCCCAACTATCATTGCCAATCATTGCCAATCATTGCCAATCAATGAATTATCCTGAGGCAATCATCGCCAATCAATGAATTGAAGTGATGCAGGGAAGAAGATTAGCCTGAGGACGATGTGCGCGCGCTTCACGCGTACGAATACTTTTCGCTTAGCGCATTTTTATGTCCTCTGTGAGAGTAAAGCCTCACATTTTTTGTTACCCATGTGACTTTCTTTTTTTTTTTTTTTCCCCTTGAAGGCTTGAACAGCCATATGCTCACTAAGGAAGGTGCGCTGTGTGGAGAAACTGTTGTTGTTGAGAATGCAGGAAGAAAAAAGAAAAAGAAAAAAAAAGCAGAAGAATTCATTGCATGTCATGCCATCGTAAGAGAATAGAAATCTTATTTTCCTTTGGTGTACCAACTGAGCTAAAGGAGGCCAGTTGGTGTTCAATCATAAGAAAAGAGAAGAGCTTTGGTGTACCAACAGAGCTAGGTCAGTTGGTGCTTTTGGAGTTTTGGATCCAAGACAGCGGACACACATTCTGCTTTTTTAGAGTGGCGAGCGCGATCATTATGTGACCCTGCACTTTTTCGCCAACACAATGCACCCATTTTGACTGTATGAGGGCATACTCACACTAGGATGTTTATACCTATTTTTTGATGGAATTGCGGCCAGATACAGCAAGGTATGGCTGTGAATGCGGTCAGGTACATTTTAGATAGTGCTAGTGTGAGTACGCCCTGAGACTGGAAAGTAGGGTGTTTGGGCGAATGCTATAGTGGAGCTGCCTGGAAGAAAACTGCCGCATGTTTTCGTTATGAAAGGTAGGTTGACCTTGTGCGTCCCGGTGTGGTTGGATTGGCACTTATGCACCCACATTTCTTTTCTTCCATTTTTTCTGTAGAAGGCATGAACACTGAATCAAAAATATCGAACCCAAAAAAAAAAAAAAGAAGAAAGTGGATGTTGCGGGCATCAATCAAAGTCACCCCCCCCCCAAAAAAAAAGGGGAAATTTTTGATATGCCCTTGAAAGTTTGATTTATTTGCTGTGTGCCCCTCCGACAGCCGTCTTGCCCTGTCATGCCCCTGGTGCCTCTGAACTTTCCTGCCGGCCCCTCTAAGTGAGGGGTGCAACTTTCCAGCATGCCCCTGTGGCCGCTGGTGGCACTCGCGGCCTGTCCCCTGGCTGTGGGAGGGGATCTACCAGGGCATTCTGGAAATTTGGAACTGGTACCGGTAGGGGCATATTGAACATATTTCAGTCCCAAACAACACCAGGGGTTTTGGGGAAACTTCAATCATTGTCAGAGGGGTGGGACAGGGTAAGTCGGCTGTCAGAGGGGCATGATGCAAATAAATGGAACTTTCAGGGGCATATCAAAAAATTTTCCAAAAAAAGGTCAGCGGGTTCTACATTTTGATAGAACACTCCAGTAATTGATTTTTGGTTCCCTTTGTCTTTGTTTGTTTGGACTACCCCTTATGAGACCCCCTTTAACCCTTCCTCTCGACAATTCTCCTTGGCGGATCTCTGCTCCCCCAGTCATGCCTCAGTGATTTCTACTCAGGATCATCATGTCGGTGGGGTGAGACTGTGGTCGTAGACCCCAGGACTGAGCAGAGACCCCCCACACAACCCTTGGTTGAAGCATAGTCGAATGAGCCGCGCCGTACGGGTACTTCAGGCACTAGGTGCAGATATCACTAGGTGCAGATATTCTTTCCACAGGTCCCATGAGTAGGTATTCAACCACCAGTACACCCGTGCCAGGTGGCGCCGCAACACCCGCCAAGCTTCGGCAAACCACCAGGATGCAGTGGCGCGCTTGACTTCTCTTTTGGCTTGCGCCGCCAGCCATTGTGGTTCGGTACCCCCAAGCCTCCAGAACTTACGTACACGATGAGAAGCACTCTACAAGGCTGGGGGCATGTACTGGAGGCTTAATTGTCCCCCGCACTTGCCCTCATTATACCTGTATTTAGACTAAAAGATACTCCCAAATACAGCTGTAATTGGCTATTATTAATGTATTTAGACTGAAAGAAACCCCAAATACAGTTGTAATGACCGTACATTGTATTCGGGGGAAGACGGTAGCCAAGGTTTTACCCAGTGATATCATTCCTGAGGAATCCATGTGTACCCACCTACCACAGCTATATCTATTGGTTATTCTAATTGTGTTGTGCTTTGTGGTTTGTACTGCTGTTGTTCTAGCGCTTCTTTTTTGGGGTTGTCTGGAAGGCCCTAGCATCAGCAGGTAGACAGCCCCCCATCTGTCCGCCGTCCTCAGTCATCAGCTAGGCC